CAAATGCTATCAGCTAACTTTTATTAATTTCATAAATTTCGGAAGTGATATATATTGTGAGAGTACAACTAGCTACATGTACAATTTTAGATTGTCTATTTTAAGTAGTCCGCCTGAAGGTTCTACACTAGCTGTCATATCTGAAATCTCTTAGAAGATTCCCTATTTAAACTCTCTAGCCCACTTCAATACTCCCTAATAGATGAGTATCACAATACCCAACTATGCTATGCTATATCCCCATTTTAGCTTGCATATACTCTTATTCAATGTTCGTACAAACCTAGTTCCAGCTATAGCCCTCCACTAGTTTAGATTTCTGTGTCTTTCTGAATGTTTTACGAGGAAGATCCTCCTAATCTAGTTAGCCACTAAGCCAAGTTAGTATTGTTGTATTACCCAATATCATAGACTAACTTACACCCACTCAATCTATATTTTCATACTCAGAAATCTTTGCCAGATTAAGCGTTAACTGGCATGACCATCGAAATCCATACTACTTTATCTAACTTGGGATTTCTACTATACAGGTCCTCTGCCTATAGATCCTATCTTAATTTATTCATGTAATGCAACTCAAACATTCTGTCACACTTCTAATATCTGAACAATATTGGTGCAACATAATTTATAAGGTTATAACTCCAGAAATGGACAGAGTTTACCATAAGTTAAATACAAGATTTGAGTAATTATTCAAAGTGTCGACTGAAGGATTTGAACTCCAAACCTATTGCATAGCAGTCTGACAACCTATTCACTATACTAGATCACTGGACCTCAGTACAAGGCATTTAATGCAGTATCTTTATAATAAACATTAAATTACTACAAGAAATTATAAAGATTTTCTCAATTCTGAAAAACAAGTAAAATGTTTAAACTTAATGTAATCTATTTAAGCTTTATTAAATTACTTAAAATGAATTAAATTATTTTATAGCCAAAAGTGAAAGTCAATTAAATCACAAATTATATGAATACACTTTTACCTAAATAATAAAAGAAACTTACAAAATATGTTGTAGAGTTTATTGTATGTGATATCTAACTTTTTATATATTAAAATATTTATCTTTTCACTGAATACTTTTAGCATTTCAACCTTATTATCAGGTACCTTGTGCAGAAACAGTTAAAGAATACATTTTAGAAGCCTATAATGAGAGAATAAATTAACTTAAAGAATTATTAGCTAATACAGCTACTACTGTTCATTTGAAAACAGACTTGTAGACCTCAAAGAGCAAGCATAGCTATTTTGGTGTTACTGCTACTTGGATTACTTCTGATTTTAAATTTTATAAAATATTACTTATATGTTATTACATACTCTATTTACATAATGGTGAAAGTATTAGTGAAGAGCTTTCTAATATTATTTTTGATTAGAACTTGGAAGATAAAGTATGCATAATAACTACTGACAATAGAGCTAATATAGTAAAAAGAATAAAATTATTGAATGATAATTATTTACTAGATATTTACTAACAACCTTGCATTGCATACACCCTTTAACTTTCAGTTAAAGAAGAATTAAAGCAAGTTAAACCTATCTAATGATGACTTAAAAGTATTCAAACCTTTTTTCACTTTCTAAAACAGTCTAATGATTATGAGAAATACAAATACTTATAAATTCTGATTTATTTCAAGATAGTAGAACAATTAGTCCTCTTGAAGTATTAACAGACTGTAAGATATGTTGGAATTCATCTTATTTGGCTTGGAAAAGAATTCTAGAGTTGCATCTAGCAATGCATATATTAGCTATATCATTGCAAAGTAAATTAGATTATGTTTTAAAAAAAGAAAGTAAAAAATTTGATTAACTGTATTTGACTTCTGATAAAAAAAAGTATTTAATTTTTAAAATTTTTTTTTGTGAATTAGGTGCTGAGAAAAGTAAAGTTTATTATTTATATAAATACTTTTTTGTTTTGTATTAAAAAAATTTATTCTATTATAAATTAACTTTAATTATTATAAAACAATATGCAAAAAAAAAAAAAAAAAAATGATGAATTCTCTTTCTCTTAGCATCTAGCTCATTATTATTTGTTTAATAACATTTTTTATATTAAAATTACTTGAAGAAATAGTTGAAATATTAAAACCTTTCAAAGAAATAATGAGACATGTTTGTAGTGCCAAAAACTCTACTATGAATCTCGTATATTCTTATATTTGTATACTAAAAATAGATATGTACTAGTAGCTATGAATAGTGAATTTGTAGAAGATTAGATAGGTCTAATTTATGGTAATTCAGAAGGTTCAGATAATAAATTAGATATTAGTAGTGGTAATGAAGCCAATATTCTATTATCTGGGAATAGAAAACAATAGCAGTACACTTATAAAGTATGCATAACTAAGTTTATAGTCATAAACGCAATATAACTCATATGAAAAAATATAAGAAGCATAATGAAAATAGAGAAGAACTGGATGATTCAAATACAGTAAAGTATTTACTCTCCACAAACTGTAATAGACTTTTGAAAAAAATACATGCTACAATTTATTTGTCTCTCGATGAATTATAGGACATTCTTGGTAAAATTAGATTAAAGACATGTTTATTAGATTTACAGAGGTTAAAATTACTTCTATTTACTATTTCTGAAGAACAAAGTAATACAGAAGCACAAGTTTATACAGAATTATTAGTATTAAAAGCAAAACTAGTTAGCTAAAATTATAGTAATACAGAAAGTGTATTAAGTACTATGGAGAAGAATTATGATTCTTTTAGTGCTGAGTTATGAGGTTCATATTTGGCACCTACTTTACTTAAAACCACTGAAGATGAACTAGAAAGATACTTGAAAAAGCAAATTATACATAAATACCAAAACTCTTTAGTATGGTAGGAAGAAAGACAAGCAATTCTTCTATTGCTTTATCAGCTTACTCAAAAATATTTGTTCATACTTATGACATCAGTCTCATTCGAATATTTGTTTCTGATACTAGAGCCTATATTTCAGCAAGAAGAACTAGTCTTGTATCAGATCTAGTAAGAAAAATGCTATTCTTAAAAAGAAATAGTAATAATTTTCTAATATTACTTTTATTAGAAGATAAGTAGAATTTTTGATAAGTAGTAATTCATCAGTTAGATTTGTGCTATCTAATTTTCTAAAGTATATAAAAGTTGTACTATGAAATATAACAGCAAATAAACTAGCACGATTGTTATCTAAACAAATTTACTAATGATTTCTGATAATATTAAAGTTTTGTTATTAGAGAATGTAAACCAAGCCGCAATTGATATTCTAACTTTAAAAGGCACAAGTTGAAATTAAATATATCAGACAAGCTATCTGCTATCCGATATTTATATAATACAAAATGATAATTTAACAAAATATCAGTATAAAAAATAGTTCATTGATATCTTGCTAATATTCGACAGATGGATTTTAGTTAAATATCAGACAAGATATCTGCTGTCTGATAGTTCTATAATACATAATAATAATTTAACAAAATATTATCACGATTTTAGTTAAATATCGGACAAGATATCTGCTATCTGATAGTTCTATAATATATAACGACAATTTAACAAAATATCTTCACAATTTCAGTTAAATATCAGACAAGATATTTGCTATTCGATAGTCCTATAATACACAACGACAATGATAATTTAACAAAATTTTAGTTAAATATCAGACAAGAAAATATCTTGTAGAAATTAAATTGATAACTTTATATATCAATATGTAGTAGTTATATAAGTTATAGCTATGGCTTATTAATTATTCGAATGGTATACGTCAATTGTAATGTTAATTTAAATATATATACAATAAATATATACTAGGTACATATCTATGTATAAATATAGATTATCTCATGTATGTACAACTATTATAGATTATATTTTCTATTTAACAGAATCACTGACATATACTCCTAAGGTTTTTTCGATCCAACCATAAAAGTACCAGCAACAAATCTTCCCAGTATGTTATGTACAGGAATTATACAATCATGATCTAAATTATAAAAATCATTATTCCATAATTCCACATTACAAAGTTTATCATTATTTTTGCTGATACTAAGTTGATATCTTAATTTTTCATCTATTTTTTTGTACTAGCGAACGTATGCGAGATTATGCTTCGTTGATTCTTCTGAATAATCAACATAATACTCAAAAAAGAACTGAACCTGATCTGAATATGTGATTACATCTCTATTTTCAGCAAACTTTGCAAGAATTCTTGAAGAATTTTCATGCCGTTTAGAAAAGGTAGACCTGAAAACTTTATTACTTATTCTTACTCTTCCATATTGATTTATTATAGGCGATATACCTATCGACCCATCTAATTCCAAATCTTCAGGTAGAATAAATATATTCATCTTGTAAGCATTATTATAGTATTTGGTAAGTAATTTCATAAAATCTTAAGAGACGTATGTATTCATTCTTTTTGGTGTAAGGAAGATTCCAGGAAGTGAATCTGATCCAGTGCTAGTACCAACCTCCTCTTCTACTGAACTTGACATAAAAATAAAATTTATTGTATCTTCATTAGATATTTCGTAATTACCCAAATTTCTGGAAGATTGTCTTAGAGCCAGAATAGACAAAGCTTTAGATAAATTAGTATCATTACAATCACTAATTAATCTATCAATTTGTCTATTTTTTTGGATGATATTCATAAGTTCTGGCTCAATTTTTCTATTACTATTTTTGTAGCTTTCTATAAGATATAATTAATATTATTAAGAATATAGAGATATTGACTAAATTATTAAGTTTTTTTTTTTTTTTTTTTTTAAGAATATAGAGATATCAACTAAATTATTATTATTATTTTTTTTTTTTAGAGATATCGACTAAATTATTATTATCATTATTATTATTTTTTATTTTTATTTTATTATTATTATTATTTTAATTATTAATTTTTT